TGGTGTGGGGTTTACTCTTTTTTGTTGAGACAGGGTCTCATATTGCCCAGGCTGGAGTACACTGGTGCAAATACAGCTCACTGCAGCCTCCAGCTCCCGGGCTCAAATGATCCTTCCATCTCAGCCTCCTGAGTAACTACGACTACAGGCATGCCACCATACTAGACTATTTTTTTAAATTTTTTGTAGAGACAGGGTCTCACTATGATACCCAGGCTGGTCTTGAACTCCTGACCTCAAGCAATCCTCCCATCTCAACCTCCCAAAGTGCCAAATTCAGTTCTGACTTAGTAGGTTTGGGTGTGGCCTGAGATTCTATGTTTCTTACACTCTCCCAGGGATGTCAATGGGGCTGGTCTGGGAACTACAATTGGAGTAGCAAGAGTTTAGATGCTCCCCTCATTTTAAATAAGAAACTAAAGTTTTAAAAGGCTTAATCAATCTGTGATAAATCCAGGGTTAGCATTTGGTTTTAGGATCCTCAGTCTACATTCTGTTCCTAGGCTATAAGTACCCTAGTCTTATGCTGTTCAATTTATTAACCATGAGCTACATTCAGTAATTTACATTTAAATTAGTTAATATTAAACGAAAGTTAAAATTTGTTTCCTCAGTTGCACTAGCCACATTTCAAGTGCTCAATAGGTGCTGTATTGTATAGCGTAGATACAGGCAATTTCCATTATTTCAGAAACTTCCACTAGGCAGTGCTGCCCGGACTCTAAGACAAAGGAAAATGCTTGGGGAAATTTCATCCTTGTTTTTGCATTCCAGATCTTAATGCATGTTTAAAAATTAACCATGAATCACTACTGCCCACACCATCCCACATTACACACTTTCTTCTCTAAGGAGAAGCATCAGGAAGTTTGAGATTGTGTGAAAACTGGGTACATGGAAGATTTCAGGGAAGGGCTGTTGCTGCAGTGACTGGTGGCTGGGCAGGTCTCTCACTGACCTTTCACTTGTTGCTCGGGTCCCCGAGTGTGGCTGGCGACACTGGGCATGCTGACGTTGTTCCTGTGGATGTACTTGAGAAACACCTCAGCGTTCCGCCGAGCCAGGGTACAGGCCTGAGAAAGACAAAGCTGTGAGGCCCCTGTCCCAGCAGGTGGCAGATGTATAGAATCCAAGACACTAGAGAAGGCATACCCTCCTTTGACATTTTCTTTTCCTTTTTTTGTTTTTTGTTTTTTTGAGACAAGAGTCTCACTCTTTTGCGCAGGCTGCAGTGCAGTGGCATGATCATAGCTCACTGCAGCCTCGACCTCCCAGGGTTAAGTAGTCCTCCTATCTCAGCCTACTGAGTAACTGGGACTACAGTCACCCACCATCGCACCTGACTAACTTTGTGCATTTTTTCGTAAAGTCGGGGTCTCACTATGTTGCCCAGGCTGGTCTTGAACTACTGGGCTCAACCAATCTGCCCACCTTGGCCTCCCAAAGTGCTAGGATTATGGGTGTGAATCATAGCACCTAGCCCCTCCTTGTACTTTTTGGGAGGCTCAAGAACTCTGAAGGAATCTGGAAAGAGCAGAGCTCTGAATGTCATCACTGCTTCACAGAGACTACAATTCCAATTTATGGAGCTAACCTTTCTAAGCTTTCCTTTTGTCAAGTGAAGAATTACTCCTTGTGTCTCTGCCTGTTCCATCTCAGATAAAAATCGGAAATCAGCCATCCCTTGTCTCTATGTTGACCAAGCATTACTAACATTTACTCTTACCCTACTTTTCCTCAGACACCAGAATACCTCTTACACGGCCACTGGTGTAAGTCAGGAAACATAAACCTACTTTAAAATCAGTGTGAATTAGACTTGAGCAAGTAAATTTGGTAAACATATCTATTAACCCTACATTCCAAAACTAAATGGAAAGTACCAACATTTTTCAAACTTATTTGCCCATCAAGTCCCCCCTCATCTAAATATCACTAATAAGCATCCTATTGTTGAGAAATGCCAGTCTGCATAAAGAACTAACAGCTGTTATATCAGCTACTCCATTTATGATTCATATTAGCTGTGGTGGACAGAGAGAGGGCTGGTCACATTCTCCTTGTTGTACTGATGGACAAGACTGAAGCCCAGAAAGGGCAGAAGTCAGAAAGCAACTCATATGTAGGATCTAGGATGACTGACAGCATTTCTTGTTCGCCTAGTATTTTCTGAATTTCTCTACAAAGTAGCTTTTTGTTTTCTGTTTGTAAAGTAATAAATACTAGCATACTAATTTTTAATCTATAGTTTTCAGAACTAAATTATCTCTAGATAAAACTGTGAAATTTTATTCATTTTTTTGAAATTTTATTTTATATTTTTCTTCTACATACCCTGAAGTGTTAAATTTTAGAATCTCATATTTTCCCTCTGATCCTACAAATTATATAATTAAAAATTATTATATAATTAACAGAAACATAATTATAAAATTTTACAATTTTCTGGTTATATTAAAAAACCAGCAACAAGGGCATCTGGGGATATCTGGTACACAAACGCCTGCTAGTGAGTCCATGAACACAGAGGCTCCTGAATACAACAGCTTAATGGTGGTCTTAGCCTAAGGAGTTTCAAACAGATCAACTAATGAATACAAACAGCTCATATTCTATCTGTTGGTTGGGCATATAATTCCCACAGTGATAGGGAGCTTCTCACTATGGTTTTAGGGACATATGGAAAACATCAGACCAGAGGATTTTCTTATTCTTTCTTCAAAAGAAACATTTTCTTTTAGTTTTATGAAGAAATATTTTTTACTTCTATTTGAGATTTTTATATGCTCTACTTAAATTGTTTCATTTTAAAATTTGCTTTTTAATAGAAAAAACTTTAAAAAATCATCATAAGCCCTGCACAGAAGAATTTCTATTTAGTCTTATTAATAAGAGCTGATTACTAAAGGTTCCGACCAGTACAGGTGCAGATATCAGATAGTTGGTAGGAGGGCAGGGAGAGGCCAGCTTAAAAAAATTATAAAAATTAAGCTCAAAGTGGTGGTCAAGTAGAGAAAATCCCTAATAAAAGAAAGGCAGTTAATTACAGAATGGAATAAAATCAATGGCAACATGTCAGGGTATAAAAATGATCTCTTCTATTCCCAGAAACCTGAAAGGAAGCAGAACATGAAAGCAAGAAATCTGAGAGCAAATGGAGCCTTCAGATGAGCTTGAACACAGAAGAGAGCAGGCGATCAGAGGAGAAGATCAAAGGCTGGGGAAAGAGGCTCACAAGGACTTCCCATACCAGCTGACAATCTGTGCAGAGCAGGCCTGTGCTTCCTCCCTCAGAAGGCAGGGCTCTAGGAGAATACCCGGAATAAGGCATTTTTCTCTTAATACAGAAGAATGAATAGTGTTATGTGTATTGGTAATTGCTAGATTACCAATAATAATAGTGTTACGTGTATTGGTAATTGCTAGATTACCAATAATAATAAATAAATAAATAGGGCATCCAAATTCATTTCTTTAATTCTTACCCTAAAATTTTGTATCTTCCATTTATAAAATATTTTAATCGTGTTTTATATTTAAGCTTATATCTTTTCAATATTACTATAAAAATAATTTAATTAGCAAAACACAACTGAATGAAGCATGCCTTTTTCTCAGTTAACACTACCCATGGGATATTGGGATATCTAGATTGCAGCAGATATCCCAATTATTGCCTAACTATACAAAAAGTGATTGCCTAACTATACAAAAAGTGCTAAGAGAGAAATAAATGTTGGAAGAATAACCTTTCACCCTTTCACATTAACCAATCAACATCTTCACTATACTCCCTTCCCCCTTTAGGGAAGAGGTCAGAAAAAAAGGGGGATAGGAAGCATGTTTGAAGCTCTGTGTGTTTGTGTGTGTGTATGTTTGAGTGTGTGAGTGAGAGAGGGAGAAAGGATGAAAGAAGGCCAAGGCCAGGAGTCTGAGCTCTTGCATGGCAATGTGCTCTGACCTTAAGAAAAGCCTCCTTTTGTTCCAAATGTTTGCTGATGAGTGGAATGACATGGTCGATCTCTGCCGCTGGCCCCAGCTTATCTCGTCCACCACACCAGTCCTCATCTCTCCGGTATTCTTGCTCTAAGCTCTCCAGGACACTACAGACCTAGTGAATCATGGAAGAAAAGACTCAGTAAATTAATTAGGAAGCATTCTCTGAGAACCTTCATCCTATAGAACCCTACACAGGTGACATTTTTCATTTGAAGTTTAGTGCCTCTCAGATATCTAAGAGAAGCCCAGGAGGCAATGACAGTCCTGTGTCTGAAACCTGGGAGACATAATTACTGGAGATATGGATTTCAGAAC